AAAAAAGAAAAAAGATCAAAACGTGATCATACGGTCACAGCAGGCAGCAATAACCTCATTATTATTTTGATGGTAGCCAAACAGTTTCCTGTCAACATTCAGTTATTAATTGCAGCCTTGGTGCCAACCTCAGGCCACAGACCCTCTGTCTTTTAGCTGGAATAATTGGCTTCATGCTGTTGCAGCTCTGAGACAGATGCACACCCTGAAGATTCCTCCAAAGATTTTTTTTAAAACACTGAACTGCACGGAGACAAATTAGTGTAAAAAAGACAAAATGCATTTGTGCAGAACAAGATGTCACTTAATACCAGCTGATTTGAGTAGTTTTTGTTTTTATGTTGTCGTTGTACCATAAAATAACTGAGGCATCGGATCACACTTTTGTATTTCTCTGTTGTAGTTAAAGCAGCTTATGGAAATTTAATAAATATTTTTATAACAATTTTCAATATACAATCTTCCATATGGTGTAGAAGTGGCTCGGGTCCAGTGAGAGCTTCTGAACAGACTGATAATAGATCATCTTTCTCCACTCTAAGCTTTCCGGTCACTAAATGTGTTAAGGTGACACTGTTTGACAAGCTCTGAGACGTGTTGACCCTACAGTACTCAGACATCAAATTTGGGTGAACAGAGCTGCTGGTGAGAAGACAAGGTCATCTTGCATTGTGGTATGTTTCACTGAACAATGGTGAACGAATGCCAGAGCAGATCAAGTGTTTGATTTACGGCTCTGATTAGCAATGAATAAAACAAGAAAAGGAACAACAACAATYGTTTCGATTACATTTAGACAGTCTGCAAACAAAGGACGAAGCAAAGGCTGTGGAGTTTATTTGTTCTCTATGTGTTTGGGTGGGTTTTCTCCAGATCATCCCACAATCAATTGAATAGCATGTTTAGGTTGCCTTCAGGCCCAGGCTGCCCTTGAAAAAAAGATCTGTGATCTCAATAGTTTGTCTGCTTAAATAAACCTTAAATAAAATCCCTGTAGAGGGACAAAGCAACATCTCTGTTATCTTGAGGAAGCTGCCAACTTTACAGGTGAAATCACACTGCGAGGCAAGGCAGAAATTCTCAAATAGATCAGAACAAAAACTCAGTCGTATGTTTTGCGAGAGAAAACGGGTGGATTTAAATTAATTTTGAGGACTCACACTGGCAGGTGGCTGGATCCTAACTCCAGTGGCTCAAGTTACTGTTGAAGGTTATTTGAGCCAGAACAGAAACTCTAATGTGGAAAACTGATTAAACCTTACGTTTAAATGGTCACAGATACAGTTCATCCTCTCATGTTGCGATGCTTTGGCCAGTAGAGGTCATTAATGTGCTTCAGATTACAATGAACACGAGCACTGGCACTTAGGCGAGCATTAAAATACTGTATAATAGAAAATTTCAAACACAACGGTCACAGCACAGCCACACAGCAGGAGAAYATATATAAGATGTGTTTTGTTCAATTTTGATTAACCCTGACAACAAATTGTGTCTTTGCTCCACATTCCTGCAGATACTTAATGTTGAAGCCATTTCAGGCCCAGTTTTTTTTTTTTTTGGAGTAAAACTGTTAAAACTGCTGCACTTTGAACATTTCCCACATCACTCATGTACATGACAACAGCACTCGTTCTCTTTGACACTGAAGATTTTTGAACCCAGGTCCCAAAGTGGAGGTTTATGGAAACACCAGTGTGAAATCACGCGTGCGCACTAAGGACGACTGCAGTCAATAGTTGTTCTGCGCTTGCACAGGAAGGTAAACAACATAAACGATGGTGGATAACGGAGTGCTGTTTGTGCTATTCACACAACCTCATCCTCTGTCCAAACAAAGGATTGTGTTTTCTTTATTTTGGGTGTTACTCTTTTCATGCTCGASACTTAATTGTCTGTTACATTTGAAATCTGAAAATCACTGCATCAGGTAGTCACTAGGCATGGAAACTACAGTGGCTTCAATGAGCAACTTTGTGTTTTTAACAAGGGCGTAAGTTTAGGTCTAACATTGGGGTGTGTGTGTGTGTGGTGGGGGGGGCGGGGGTTATGATTGAAA